GATAAACCATGACTACTCTTTTAGGCAAGTCACTTTATCTATGGTTTCATGATTTATTAACAAATTCACAGCTGTCATGTTTATCGTAATTAGCATATTTTTGTAACCCTCCTCTAATCGTACAATTTAATTTATGTGTCTGAATTTCATGAAATGAGAAGACAATATTCTATTCTAAATGGAAAACCAAGTTTAATGTCAATTTGATTACTTAAAAGGCAGTACTTGACAATTGAAATTGGTTGAAATTACACAAAAAGTCTTGGCTAGTTAATGCGAAATGTATGCTGGGAAAATAGGTGTCCATTTTTCACATGGTAGTTTATGGCGTCGGTAAGAAGAGGGTTAATCAGTTGGATTTTTAGCCCTCATGTAGCAGATAGTAAAATGTGTAATGGTGAGGCGATGGCCGAACCTTTGTTAGCGAAGATGTATCTAGTTTTGCAGCATAGTATCTAGCGTCGCAGCATAGTATCTAAACTTGCAGCATAGTATCTAGTGTCACAGCATAGTATCTAGCATTGCAGCATAGTATCTAGCATTGCATCATAGCATCTAGTAATGCAGCATAGTATCTAGCATTACAGCATAGTATCTAGCGTTGCAGCATAGTATCTTGCATTGCAGCATAGTATCTAGCGTTGCAGTATAGTATCTAGAATTGCAGCATAGTATCTAGTGTTGCAGCATAGTATCTAGTGTTGCAGCATAGCTTCTAGTGTTGCAGTATAGTATCTAGCGTAGCGTTGCAGCATAGTATCTAGCATTACAGCATAGCATCTAGCTTTGCAGCATAGTATCTAGCGTTGCAGCATAGTATCTAGCATTGCAGCATAGTTTCTAGCATTGCAGCATAGCGTTGCAGCATAGTATCTAGTATTGCAGCATAGCATCTAGCTTTGCAGCATAGCATCGAGCATTGCAGCATAGTATCTAGCTTTGCAGCATAGTTTCTAGCATCGCAGCATAGTATATAGCATTGCAGCATAGTCTAGTGTTGCAGTATAGTATCTAGCGTTGCAGTATAGTATCTAGCATTGCAGCAAAGTATCTAGAATTGCAGCATGTATCTAGTGTTGCAGCATAGTTTCTAGCATTGCAGCATAGCGTTGCAGCATAGTATCTAGCATTGCAGCATAGCATCTAGCTTTGCAGCATAGCATCTAACATTGCAGCATAGTATCTAGCTTTGCAGCATAGTATCTAGCATTGCAGCATAGTTTCTAGCATTGCAGCATAGTATATAGCATTGCAGCATAGTTTCTAGTGTTGCAGCATAGTATCTAGCATTGCAGCATAGTTTCTAGCATTGCAGCATAGTATATAGCATTGCAGCATAGTTTCTAGTGTTGCAGTATAGTATCTAGCGTTACAGCATAGTATCTAGCATTGCACCATAGTATCTAGTGTTGCAGCATAGTATCTAGTGTTGCAGCATAGTATCTAGCTTTGCAGCATAGTATCTAGCTTTGCAGCATAGTATCTAGCTTTGCAGCATAGTATCTAGCTTTGCAGCATAGTATCAAGCATTGCAGCATAGTATCAAGCATTGCAGCATAGTATCTAGCATTGCAGCATATTATCTAGCATTACAGCATAGTATCTAGCATTACAGCATAGGTAGTATCTAGCA